CCCTAAACTCTATGAACCCTAAACCCTAAACTCTATGAGCCCTAAACCCTAAACTCTATGAACCCTAAACTCTATGAACCCTAAACTCTATGAACCCTAAACCCTAAACTCTATGAACCCTAAACCCTAAACTCTATGAGCCCTAAATCCTCACCCCCAGGAAGCCTGAGAGCACCGGAGCACTTGGCTGCACCTCGGAGAAGCAAAGTGCCCGAGTGATGCGCTCCCAGCGGAGCGAATGAAGATGAGAGTCCTGGTGATCGGGTTTAGGGCTTAGGGTGTTAGGGCTTAGGGCGTAGGGTTTAGGGGTTTTAGGGCTTAGGGTTTGAGGGTTCAAGGTTTCGGGTTTAAGGCCTATGTTAGGGACCTGTTGGTGTAGGCGCTTATGGGCTTCGGGCCTCTAGGATTCGGGAGCTTAGGATTTAGGGGTTGAGGGGATTTAATGTAGGGGCCTGGACGACTAGAATAGGGTTTTGGGGCCGATGATACTATAATCGTAATAAAGAGCCCCCCCAAATAGTATTGGTATTTATTTAGGCACCCCTATTTTACGTTTTCTAGATAAGCCTGCTTGCCGGGCATAGTGAAGGATCATTGGGGACCTACAGATCCACATGTTTAACGGTTAACGGTTTAGGGTTGGGGTCTGCCAGAGATTTAAAGAGTCAAGATTAAACCCTAAACCCCTAATCAAGGATCTTAGGCTTCGGGGATGTAGGGCCTGTACCACGGAGATGAGGAATGTTGCTTTGTTTCAGGCAAGATGGCAGGAGTGGTTGGACAGGGTTAAGGGTCAGCACATGGGTAGTTCTCTGAATTGGGGTCCCTTTTTAAGTCCCTCATATAGTACTGCACCCTTACAAAAAGGACCCCAAAGGGTACCGCAATTTAGAAAACTGCCCACATGGAACGATGAAAAAGGCAACGGAAAAAACATGGCGGCATACCTTGGCACGAGTTGTGACAAGAACAAACACACTTTGTGTAGGGGCCTTTCGCAATTAGAATAGGCTTTGGAAGCGGAGGACAGCAAGACTTTTGGGAGTGTGAATGTTCAGGGTGCAGGGCTCAGGGCTGCGGCTAGGCCAGCACACAGCCTACAGCGGACATGATCGCCCGTGTGTCGCGGCGAAGAACGCCTGCAGGGTCTCCAGCTGTGACCGACCGGCCCCATCGGCATTCGTTTGCCCTTCGGACGATCAGGCGAATAGGCTCCGGCGTCTCTCCTGGTTTAACTTGGAGAGGGAAAGGCAACCAGCGCGAAGTCCTTGTGTTGGCCGAAGCCCCCGAACCGCTCGAAGTAGTCAGGGAGGCACCTGGTTCAGGAGCACAGCTGGGTCGGTGGAGGCCGAGGCTGCAGGAGGCATCTTCCCTTTCATATTGGCGAGCACTGCCGCAAAGAGCACGCCTCAGCCTCTGCCTGCTGCAAGTTCGTCTTGCATCCGAGCGCACCACGAGTTGACACGGAGTTTTGGGTCCCCAGGGCGAGGAGTGGCTCCCCCTTCGGCCAAGACCGCCCTTGCCGAGGGGTCCACACCTTCTGGGCCGTCTTCCTCACCCACTGTTTGCCTGCATTGCTGTTGGGGAATTTCTCCATAACCCATTCCCACGCTTGGTGCCGCTAGACTTCTGCAGCACCGCCTGCAGGGATAATACTTATAATAATATGATAAGTGAGGCTTCAATTCAGTTATGACTATTATGACCTATTACTTATTTTAGAACCCTAAACCCTATAAACCCAAAAGCCAAAAACCCTAAACCCTCCTGTATCACAGCATCCAGACCTCCCTAAACCCTAAACCCTAAACCCTAAACCCTAAACCCTAAACCCTAAACCAGCCCCAAGTCCTCCGTCCAGAATGTGCTGCTCTGCACAGCCGAAGGTTCCTCGGCGCACCGAGGAAGGCAGCCCTACACAGGGTTTAGGGTTTAGGGTTTAGGGTTTAGGGTTTAGGGTTTAGGGTTTAGCCCTACACCCCAACTTCCTAAACCTCAGAACCCTATTTACAAACCTGAAACTACACCCCAAATCCCCAAACCTCAGAACCCTACTTGCAAACCTGAAACTACACCCCCAATCCCTAAACCTCAGAACCCTATTTATAAACCTGAATTTATAAACCTGAAACGCCAGAGCCCAAAACGGCTTCCTAAACCTTGCCCGAACCCTTCAGGTACCTACTATATAGGGCCTTAGGGGCTCTAGTACCCTATATAGTAGGTACTGGAAGGTTAGGGTTACCCTAAACCCTAAACCCTAAATCCTAAACCCTAAACCCTAAACCCTAAACCCTAAATCCTAAACCCTGAGCCCTAAACCAAAGACCTCCGCCGACACGAGGGCTCTGGGAGCCGAAGCGGTTTGTTCGGATTTAACCTAGGGGCTTCGATAATTTGAATAGGGCTTTTGGGGTATAATTCTTTTTTATGACTGTATAACAAGGACCCCCCCAAAAAAAAGAGTCCGGGGGACTGTGGGCGTGCACTGATTTTGATGTTTGATCATGTGTAAATACGTCTTCGCACGAATGCTTAAGCTATGAATCGGCCATTTTTGCGGCAAGTGAGTTGTTGGTTATGATGATGTGTTTGGTCTAGAGCTCTAGCGCCTAGAGACACGGCCCTTGAAAACGGATCGGCCGCTAGCAAACAAACATATCTATCGCGGATTTTCCCGACGCTAAGCAAGGGAAACTGGAACGACTTTGTTGCGCCGTCCAGTATATACATGTGTGTATATATATATACACATATGTATACACAACTACCTATCACTAGTATCGTTGTTTTCCGCTTTTTCGATCTTGGCTTCTTCATCTATGTGTGTATATATAAAAATATGTATGAAGCTTCTTTATACGCATGTGTATATATATATATATATCTCTCTCTCTCTCTCTCGCTCTCTCTATCTCTCTCTCTCTCTCTCTCTCCGTGCGTGAGTATATGGAAGTCATATTCATTTATCCTTACATTGGTTAACAATGTGTATATACATGTGGCACCATTTCCATATTCCTTGTGTAAAATATTCAGGTCTCTGTGCGTATTATGAACGGTACTCTCTTGCTGTCTAAACCTCACATCTGTATATCAAGAAATCTTACCAGTCAGTCTAACAAAAAAACACGTGTAATGACATTTATACGAGACTTTTACAGCATTCGCCTATTTAACCTTCGCTTGGTACATTATCACGCACAAAGGTAAACAGAATGTACAAGGGATACGTATATGAATTTGTTATGTTCTAGTTATAGCTCTATGACTAGGAGAAAGCAAAACATAGTATGAATGTCAATTAAGAGAAAGATAAACGGATAAACTTTAAACACATGTATAAATATCAGGGAAGACAATTCAATTATGCGATATTATGAGAGTATTTAACCTGGAGTATATTGGCCTACGTGTTGTATATGTTGTATACATGTGCGTCCAATTATTAAAGCTTAGGTGTCATAAGGATCGGGATTAATGTAAACATCTACATACAAGAAATAATATGCGAACATGAATCATCGTAATGATGAAACTAAAAAATGTGAATCTTCTGGTTGGTACTCCATTAACATCTGTTTGTAGTAATTGAAGCCTTGACGAATTAATATTTCAATAACAAACAGGCAGATAAATAAATACATCATGAAATAAGCAGATAAAACTCGAGTAGTGATTGTATTTTCAATTGCCTATTTACGATTCAGAATACAGGTCAGTATACACCCCATTGCTCACTTCAAATAAATATATATATATATATACATATATACATATATATATATATATATATACATTTGTTTATATCTAGAACTTATATTTGTACATACATCTCAAAAGCAAATGCGCACATACGCGTATATACAGATATCCACATACATTTCATACACATACTTTGTACTTGTAATAGTTTATACCCTAGCTATATGCCGAAAACATGACCATGAATATTTTAAGTACTCATCTCTTGTACCCAAGGATCAATATGGGAAGTGCTGGCGCAGTGGTCTTTACCTCTGTATATGCAAATGCTTACTTAATAATTCAACTCTATTGTGATATAGTCGGAATTTGATGGAGAACTGAGTGTTGTATCCAAAAATTGCCAACTAGCCTACAATGGTGACAGTACTATAATATAGCAGCTAGAGTAGTTAGTGTACCCATATGTATACATATGCATATCTACGAACGTCATGTCCGCGAGAGTGCATTGTCCCTTTGTGGGTTGCGCCCTGGGCACGCGCGTTTTCGCAGGCTTTAGGGCTTGCCGCCAACTCCACTGTAGGAAACAAATTCAAAAGAACCAAAAATACCAACAAATCCAAAAATACCAAAAATACAAAAAAAACAAAAATACCAAAAAAAACAAAAATACCAAAAAAAACAATTGTCAGGAACTCTTCCAATTAGAAGATTTTTTTCCAATAGTCCCCAAATAATGTTTTTTTTGATTTTTTTGGTATTTTTGTTTTTTTGTATTTTTGGCATTTTTGTGTTGTTTTTGCTTTTTTTTCTACATTACGAAATGATTTCTCGACAGTACGTATGCCGGAGGTTTCTGCCAGCCCTGAAATTACCGGAAACGCGCACGCCCAGGGTCCCCCGTTTTGAAAAAAATAATATGAGTAATTATCTAAGTCCCCTTATGTTAGGGATTTGCTGTTCGCGACTTCTAGGTGTGGCTTGCATCACGACTCATCCTTGCTGAGGCTCCCAGCGCCAAAGCCCTTACCCCAACCCAGACCACCAAAAGGATCTAAAAAATAGATCCCCTAAGGTGGTTCCTTTAAAGTACCCCTTAGTAGTATAGGGTCCCAAATTAGGGGATCTATTTTTTAGATCCTTCTGGTGGTCTGTGAAGGCCCATAGCAAGAGCTACAGCTTCAGGTAGATCCCCAATCGACTCTACAGACCTAAAGCCTAAACCCTAAACCCTAAACCCCTAAACCTAACCCTGCACCCACCGACCCGAGCCCAAATTTATAGTAGAAGCCGGAAAGTTGGAACATTGTTGTCCTCATGCCCTGAAAATACAGTGTAGGCGATCCTAGCACGAATCCATGTTCCAACTTTCTGGGATTCACTACAGTAGAAGCCCAAAAAGTCGGAAACCCAATAGCCTCAATCCTCAAGGGTAATGCATATGGAATCCCAGCACTATTTGTCCTTAATCCGGTTTCCAACTTTTTGAGGTTCACTATATTGTTGCTGAGTCCCAAGCAGAGCTTGGGCTAGCGGAGATTGGCTCCGGAGAAGGTTGCGCTGGCTCGTCCTCAATCCAAGGAACAGCGGCCTCCATCGAAGATTGAGTCGGGAGTAGGGTTTAGGGTTTATAAGGGTTTAGGGTTTAGGGGGTTTGGGGTTTAGGGTTGGGGAGTTGTTCTTTTTGCGGAGCTATTGTGTTGTTGAAACTTCTTCTAGCTAGCTAGCTGGGCAGATATACAGGAAGATAGAACGGGTGGCCGAGCATCAGGCCTGATGGGTGATGCGCTTGGGTGTTTCGAAGAAAGTAGGCTTTTCTGGGTTTGGGGTTTAGGCTTGGGTTTCGGGTTTAGGATTTAGGGTTTGGGGTTTGGGGTTTAGGGTTTATGGTTTAGGGTTTAGGGGTTTGGGGTTTGGGGTTTGGGGTTTAAGCTTGAAGAAAGAGGTAAAAGGCTTCAAGTGCGGCTTTTCAGTTCGTATGTTCAAGTTGTCGGGACCCGTTAGTCTGACATCACCTACCAAGACCCTGCTGACTTGGAGAGAGAGACAGAGACAGAGGGGGATCGAGAGAGAGAGAGAGGGAGGGAGAGAGGCAGAGGTAGACACGTACTTACATAAATGCCTACAGACATACATACATACGTACGTACATACATACATACATACATACATGCATACATACATACATACATACATACATACATACATACATACATACATACACATACACACCCGCCTCTACATCCATCCATCCATCCATCCATCCATCCATCCATCCATACATACATACATACATACATACACCCATACATAGATACATACATGCATACGTACATACCTACCTACATACATGCATACATGCATACATGCATACATGCATACATGCATACCTGCATACCTGCATACCTCCCTACCTACCTACCTACCTACCTACCTACCTACCTACATGCATGCATACATACATACATACATACATACATACATACATACCATGCCATATGTACTCAATGTACATGCCAAACGTTTTTGCCGATGCTGTCGTCGCGGTTCGTGGCTTGGCAACCTTTCTGGTATCTGCAGCTAACCATCGGAGTTCGTTGTGATAGAGACGCCCGAAAAGAGGTCCGAAACTTCAGGGCAAGCTCCTCGCGGTTTTTGTATTAGGCTTCGTGCTTTAGTCAATTCTCCGAATCCCTAAGCCCCTAGACCCTAAACCCTAAATCCGAATCCCTAAACCCTCAACAGGGATCGGGCCTCCGCAACAGCCGCGTCGCAGCTTTTCCGTGGAGGAGTCGAAGCTTTGGGCTGAACCTCCTGCGGCGGTTTAGGGTTTAGGGCTTAGGTGTCCTGACACGCTGATACCTAGATCTTGTAATACCCTATAGACCCTACATCCCAAAATCCTGAAACCTTAAACCCTCAATGCCAAAACCCTGAAGCCTAAACCACTCTGGTTTCAAAGGCTCAGGAGAATACCTTAATTAAGGGATATACCTTCTACCATAATGAGATCCCTAATATGATTAAAAGTGTTTTCCTCAATTAAGGGATCCCTTAATTAAGGAATACACCTCCAACCATAATGGGATCCCTAGTATGATGCAGGCTTTTTTCCTCAATTAAGGGATCCCTTAATCAAGGAATGTACCTTCAACCATAATGGGATCCCTAGTATGATTTACCGCAAGGTATATTCCTTAGTTATAACTATAAACTATGATGATTAGAAACCCTAATATGACTTTAAGGTACTCCTCAATTAAGGGATCCCTTAATTGATTAATCTACCTTGAATCATGCTAGGTTATCAGGGATCCCATTAGTGTTGTACCCTAAACCCTAAACCCTCAACCCTAAACCCTAAACCCTGAACCTAAACCCAAAAGAGCTCCTCCATTAAGGGATGCCTTGGAAGCTCTGGGGAGCCTAACTTCGGGGGCATCGGTCTCTGGCAGAGGCCAACCTAAAGGCTTAGGGTGGCTTGAGGTTTAGAAGGGGCTTAAGAAAGCCGATTGAAGGCAGTACAGTCCCCTATACCCCTCCCCTCCTTAATTACCCCCTTTTAGGGGTCCCTAGTATACTGGTGCAGAAGGGGGAATGGGAGAGTAGATCCCTCTAGTCGACAAGACATAATCGCTTATGGTAGTACCCAGATTCCGTCCCGCGCTCTCCCTGGAGCACAATCAGACGGCGACGGCGACGACGAATGATTTACAAGAGTGACCATGGAGACTTTTATCCGAAGTAGGGGGTTTATGGTTTAGGTTCCACAGCTGTTACTGCGAAAGCAATCCTCTTCGAAGTTCATAACAAAACAGTCGTGGCATCAGCGTCCCGCATACTACCAAGCTTACGGATCATACCCGAACCCCAAACCCGAAGACCACAATCCCAGAACCCTAAGCCCCGAAACCGGAACCCTACACCTCATGGATCCCTGCTAGAGCCCTTTAAAGGAACCCTAAACCCTAAACCCTAAACCCTAAACCCTAAACCCTGCACCTCAAACCTTACTTGGAGCCTCTGTAGCCAGATTGCCAGCGCTGGAACGGCTGGTACGCCTTTGGCGACGGGCGGGCGGCTGCGTTTGATCACTTTGGCTTTTGGGGTTTTTGGGTTAGGCGTTGGGGGTTGAGGGTGTAGGGTCGCGCTTTTAGGGTTTTTTGGGTTAGGCATTGGGGGTTGAGGGTGTAGGGTCGCTTTGAACCTACCTGTTTCTCCAGGATGTGAGACCATGAGAAGGACCATCCAACAGGTCGGGTTATCCTTTTTCCACAGGGACTTTACCTACTCCGAGAAGATGATCGGGATCCTAAACTCTTAGCCCGTAAGCCCCGCAGCCTAAACCGTAAATGCCAAGCCCAGCCCAACAAGAACCCACCAGCTGGATTTTGTTAAGGTCCTTAAACCCCAAACCCTAAGGAAAAAACGCGCAGAGAATTAGACTGGTTGGGTGGAAAGCTTCGGATTTAGTTGAAGGTTTAGGCTTAAACCCTCAACCCTAAAATTGTAAGGGGCTCTATCAAGTTTCTGTACAGTAAGGGCGCTTTACACATTGAGGCCTATTTCGTCGTTTAGGACTCGAGATTTAGGGCTTAGGGCTTAGTATTTAGGGCTGAAGGTCTGTACCAGGGTCAGAATTCCTGTCAGTTTCTGTTGCCTCCGTGGGCAGCAAGGCTCTACGACTCTGCAACTGAAGTTTCTAAGCAACTGCGTTGCTGATACCTGTGATCATCAGATCACCTCGCGTTCGAGGCTTGACATATCTATGCAAACGAACTTCCTAAACCCCGGGTGCGGAGAAACTTCAACCGGAAGAAGAACAAACTTACGGCCCCGACAGCAATGGAGCCAACGGCATGGGGGCTGCGGCGAGCCGAATGAGGTACTTGGGATCCATAGGAGATCTCCAATGCAGCTGTCGCTGTTCCTCTGCAGAGCTTCTTGACTCCGACACAGCGCACCAGTAGTCCTGGTGAGCCTGAAATCGCTTCGTGGGGATGTAGGTCCCGCAGACACCACACCTGATGTCGCCCAGCTCCTGTGCCAACTCGCCAGTCGGCAGCATGGTTGGATCCTGGGAAATGTGAAAAGGTCGATGCTAGAAGAGGTTCGCTTTCTCTCTCTGTCTCTCTCTGTCTCTCTCTGTCGCTCTCTCTCTCTCTGTCTCTCTCCGTCTCTCTCTCTCTCTCTCTCTCTCTCTCTCAAACCGTAAACCCCGGACGCTCGAACTCCGTGAAAAAGTAGACGCACCCCGAAACCCCACAGCTGCACCAGTCTTGAACTCCTTGATTTAAAGGAAACTACAGGTGGGGAGTTTTAGGGTTTAGGGTTTAGGGTTTAGGGTTTAGGGTTTAGGGTGGGGAGTTTTGGTATATAGGGCTTCTATACGGCTTCTATAATATAGACCTTCTATGAGGCTCCTATAACGGTAACTACCCACCTGAAAATGTCCTAGACTTGATTGCAAGCTCCCAAGGCTGCTAAGTAATTGGTGTGGGGATTTAGAGTTTAAGGGTTTGGGTTGAGGGCTTACGGTATAGTGAGGGTTTGGGGCTTAAAGCTTTGACAGGGCTACCTGAAGCTTGAACCTTGGAAACATTGGGCTTGCCGAGTTAAGCACGATCCCAAAACCTACCAAAGCCACGCCGCCCAAAACCAAAACTCTTACCCCTCTAAACCCTCAACCCCAGACCCCTAAACCCCTACACCCTAAACCCTTAAACCCCTAAAACCCCTAAACCCTAAAACCCTAAACCCCTAAAACCCCTAAACACCCCGAAACCCCGAAACCCGAAGTCCTTCTCCTGACCCTGAAACCTAAGCCTAAACCCCAAGAACGCCTCGGCCGTAAGACCGGAGTGGAGGAGATGCCGCGTGGTCGCGGCCTGCTAAAGGTTGCCCAATACCCCTCAACCAAGGGATAGGGTTTGGGGTTTATACAAAAACAAACAGGTCCCGTCCCGTTGTGAAAAGGTCGTGGTCTCCAGCTAGGGGCCTTCACAATTAGAATAGGGTTTTGGGGGCTATAATAAGGAGCCCCCAGAATAATACTGGTAGTTGTTTAGGCCCCTATATTATTCCCTGAGCTGCCCCGTCCCTTGTTCTGCCGGCTGCTGTAGGGATCTTCGAGAGAGAGGAACCTGGACTCTTTGTGGGACCCTAAACCCCTTAATCCTAAACCCTGGGTTTAGAAGGTTCCACACACCTGCTCGATTGAGGCTTTCTGCTATCTATGGTGCTGGAGACGCTCGTGCGCTTTAGGGCTAGCGGCTAGGGCTTAGGGGTGGGTTCTGAGTTTAGGGTTATGGGTTCTTTGGGCTGATGGTTTAGCGTCTCGGGTTGGGGTTTAGGGGTTAGTTGGCAGCTTTCGTGTGCTCCCGATGCCTCAAAGTAAAGCTGTACTGCAGATCTCACGGCGTTGAGGTCCGACCTTGGCTCCGTCAGAATCCTTTCAGCCGTAGCCGTGGACATGAGAAGGACCATCAACTTCCCTAACCTTCCAGGTACCGACTATATAGGGTACTAGAGCCCCTAAGGCCCTATATAGTAGTCACCTGGAGGGTTAGGGCTTGATTCACCACGATGCCTCCAGGGTACACGATCTTTCTGAACAGGTTTGAACTCGAGGTCACGGACACCCCTAACTTGGCATGAGGGTGCAGTCTATTGCTTACATGTCAGATATCCTAAGCGAACTCCAGGTTAACCTAAACCCCAAACCCACGGTTTAGGGTTTAGGGTCTAGGACCCTAAGCCCTAAATGTACTAAACCCCAATGTCGGGGTTCTATTTCCCCAAGAAGCTTCCCGCTTATCCACTCCACTACTCGTCCCTGAGCCATGTGCCCGAATGGTGTATTCTCTGGCCCCCAAAGTACCTATATAGGGACGACTTTAAGG